AGGAGTTACAAACGGAATGACAAAGTTAAATACCCTCCATAGTATGGTGGAGAGTATAGAAAGCGTTTTGTATTCAAAATACAGGGTAATATGAAAAACTCCAACCAACTTCAGAGTGCTGTCATTTCTAAGCCACTCGTCCGACAGCTGTTAAAATTATTCCAGTCACAATTATTCCGAGAGAGTTGTTGTAGCAGTAGTACATGTATGTGTTTGCGTTCTGCTAATCTGGTTCCAGCTACAGGTTTAGAAATTTGGCTACTTTAAGGGGCTGTAGCCAGAGATCTTCTGGAGTTAGTTGGTAGGTTTGGCTGAGCAATTAAAAGGTATAGCGTATTGTGCGGGCCTGTATCGCACGCCGGGCAGGCGTCACGCACATCTTCATCAATTCGTGCCCAATACGAATTGAGACGACTACACTATCCTGAACGTAATTGCGCCAAGACTACCCTGGTTTGTCTAGGCAGCTGTCGTTCTTCAGCTTCAATGGAGGGGGGTGGACTCCGAGGACGGCATTCACTTTATAACTGCTAATAGCATCCGCGACTGCATCGGTGTGAATGCCACTCAGACCTGCCTGATAGTCCTTCTTGATGTAGAGGTTCTCTTTTGTAGCGCTGGACATCCCTCTCTAGATCATGTATGTCCTTCCTGACACGCCTGGGTGGGGGAGATTTATCCACCATATAATGGTGGGATGACTCTCACGGTAACACCCAAGCAGGTGCTGCAACGAAAGCATATGATTATGCTATGGCTTTCGCCTCCTCATGTAGATTGTCCACTGGTGTCATGAGGAGGCACCCTGTCGCAGTTCTCAGGGCAGCGTTCTGGCAGGTCTGAATATGCTTCCACTGCGTAGCACTTGTATTCGCAGACCAAACTGGAGCCGCATAGCTGACCACAGACCGACCTATCGCGTTATAAAAGGTCAACAAGGTTTCTTTGTCCGCACCCCAAGAGCTGCCGGCTAACGCCTTGAGAACCTTGTTCCTACTTTTCGTCTTGTCGCAGATAGCTGTGGCTTGCGCGGACGACTTGAACATGCTGTCGAACGTGACCCCAAGAATCTTGGGGTAGTTCGTGGTCGGTATTAGATTCCCCTCGACCTGAACATTCAGCTGTGTTCTCATCTCCGCAGACCATGTGGTAAAGAGTGTGGCCGTTGATTTTGTGGCGGATATTTTCATATTCCTCGCGTGGAAGTATGCGGCAAGCTCCATGAGATAGGGGTTCAACCTTTCGCATATGTCATCGACCACTGTACCCGACGCCATGATCGTACAATCATCCGCATACGTTACGATCTCAATGCCGTCTGGAGGGCGATGAATTCCGGAAAGGTAGAGGTTAAACAGTTCCGGAGATATCACCCCACCTTGGGGAACTCCCTGTTTCACTTTACGGGCTTTGGACTTATTGTTCCGGAATTCCACGTACGACTGGCGTCCACACATATAGTTGATTATCCAACGTTTCAAACTTGGCCGGAGTGTAGTTCTCTGCACGTCCTCAAACAGTGTGGCATGATTGACCGTATCAAATGCCTTTGATAGGTCAAGGGCTACCAACACTGTTCTGTCACACGGCCTGTTCTGGTTCAGTCCTCTACTAATGTGTGTGGAAATGGCGTGTAATGCTGTTGTGGTACTATGTTGTGGACGGAATCCGTGCTGGTGGTTGGCAACTGTATAGCTTCCTCTAATGCTGGGGAGGAGTAAAGCCTCAAGAGTCTTTGCTACTGGCGACATAAGCGAAATCGGCCTGTACGATTCGCCTTTGCTGGCATCCTTGACTGGCTTCAGTAGCGGGACCACCCGCCCCATTTTCCAGGATTCGGGCACTATGTGGGTGGCTAGCGATAAATTGTCGGTTAAAATATTCCGCGCACCTCTTCGGATCAGTCACCGTTACGGTGTTAAAAGTGACTGAGGTCCTATCATCCTTTTTTCCAGGGTTCGAGAGCGACTTAGCCGTTACCCACACCTTACTCATATCGGTTCCAATGTTGCAGCACTTCAGATGATCTAGCCACTTTTTCGTTTGTGATTTGTAATTCTTTATTTATTTATTTGTACCATGACAAGTATGCAAAGCCTTTAGGCCAATTAAAGCGAATACTATATGCTAAACAATATGATTCAACAACTATAAAAATAATAATAAAAAACAAAAAAAAAAAATATATATATACATAATATGAAATGAAAGCTAGTTTTCTTTAAAGCTAACATAATAAGTTTACATGATGAGTGAACTACTCCAACAAAAGGACATTTCAAAATGTCCTTATTAAAAAAGTATAATTAAGAAAAAATGAGATCATGGAAAAAACTATTAAATGTAAATAGGTATTCATGAAGATTCATTCTGAAAGTGCACCGAGAATAATTAGAAAAGAAAAATAAATATTCATTAAAAATCCAGTATTATAGATGTAAGAGGCCTTAAAATATACTGAAAAAAACTACTATTATTGCTAGATAGCAATACAGGGAAGACGCACAAGAGCTAAAAACATATCATCAGTCGAAGTGATGAACAAGTCTCTTAAAGAAAGTGAGTGAAGTAACACTGAAATCTTTTTTTTTTCAATTGGTAAAGCATTGTACAAACGCGCAACACGAACATGAAATGAGTCATTCAAGAGATTATGCTCCTGTACCAACCGGTTGACTTCCACTGTCAAATCACTGATTCTAGGATCAGTAGGGTTGGTACGACGGAGATCATCACGCTCGTTTGCTAATCCCACTGCCTCTGCTGGGAGGTTTGGTCTTATCTCGGGTATTCGACCAGCAGGTATATAGCGAGCGGCTGCAGCTTTGATGATGTTTCGGAAAATCCTTTCTGCTACCCGAACATCAGAAGGGTTGGGCAGTTCTCTGAAGCGGCGGTTGGTGAATTCTCTGAACTCTGGCCACTGAGCTTTCCCATGGTTAAGGAAAGTGCGGCGTTCAGAGGTTACGAAATCGGGCGACCTGCTTATGGAGACGATTATCGGGAGATGGTCTGAGCCAAGAGAAATGACGGGTTGCCAAGTCACGTCATTTATCAGACCGGGTGACACTATGGTTAAGTCTGGCGAACTGTGACACTCTCCTCTTATTCGGGTGGGGGCATCCTCGTTAACCGTGCAGAATGTGGAGCAGTCAATCTGCTCTGCCAGCGCTGATCCCCTCTGGTCATTACCTAGGACGGAATGCCACAACTCATGGTGGGCATTAAAATCCCCTAGTACCAGGCGGTTATTGCCTACCAATAATGGGCTAATATCAGGCAAATAACGCGGTTCACAGCTATTAATCGGCGGGATATACACATTAAGCACCTCTACCTCGGCAGTTCCACACTTGACTACTTCCCCCATACATTCCATGTATGGGTCAATAGAGACTAGCTCAAGCGAGATAGGTCTGTACTGAACAGAATGGTGTAACAGGAACGCTAATCCCCCACCTCCACTTCTGGTGCGATCCTTCCTTAGTACGTTGTAACCATAACAACGTTGTAGGCTGCAATTTTCATTCAGCTTGGTTTCCTCACCGCTGCGATCTTAATATTCCTCCGACTCATAATTCCACTATCTCATCTATTTTGCCTAGAAGTCCGTTGCATTTGAATTGCAAGAATGCTGCACAATCCAGAGTTGGAACAGCAACATGTGGCGTTAGGTTCTGCGGTGTTGGTTGCTGTTCTGGAGACTGCGGTGGAGTGCCATACTCCGACGACGTCTCTGATGAGGACGACGAAGAAGTGGACTCGCTGGGGACTACGTTACTGCAGCAAGTCGCAACATAATCCCTTTCGCTGTAGTCTCGCAAACGCCTTAGTCCGGAACAGTTCTTAAAGTGCACCCATTCTCTGCATCCTTTACATCGCACCGAAACAGATCTGTGGTGGATGACGTTCTGACAACCAAGCAGAACCAAGGTCCGGGGTTTTTCTCAATCCCGGTACGGACCAATAAAATCCGGAGCAAGCATTCCGGGATATGCTGCTCCCAATGCAGAAAAATAAACAAACACAAACATGTACATACTGGGTTGGCAGCCGCTGGCCGAAACTGGGATCTTGTTGTTTCGGGTCAATCCGGTATCGTAGAACCCGCTGCCGTGGGATTGTTCCGAAGAGTTGCCTTGCTTGGCCGAAAGTGGTGAACTGACGAATTTAGTTTCTCCGATGAGAAATCATTCGTTGTCCAGCAGTTTGTAAACAAAATGGTCGTGTTTACTTGTCAAAGAAGTCAGCTGAAAATTTGCACCACCAGAACTCAAGCGCCGAGTATGGTGATGGTGTGGGCCGCCATAACAGCCGATGGTCGCTCTCCGCTCGTCTTAATCAACCATGGCATCAGAATAAACGCCGCATATTATCACGAAAATATTCTGGAGGGTGTATTAAAGCCTTGGGCATGCTAACATTTTGGCCGCAGACCTTGGACATTCCAACAGGACTCAGCACCCCGCACTCAGCACGTGCCACCCAAAAATGGTTACAAAATGAGGTTACTCGCTTCATTTCCAGCGCACAATGGCCACCAAAATCTCCGGATACCAATCTGTTGGACTATTACGTATGGTGTGTTTTGGAAAGCAAGGTTGGCACTAAAAAATACCAAAGTGTCAATCACCTCAAGCAAGCGCTTCCCGGGAATGTGTCAAATTACCGCAGAGCAACCTTCGGGCAGCGTGTGACGGTTTCATTGGCCGTTTCGTGGCAAAGGTGACCAATACGAACAAATCTGAACTTATTCTAAAATTTGAAGCTATTTGCGACATTTTTTGCTTTCATTCAATAAAATTAAAAAAATAAATAAAAATTATGGCGTATGACTTTGTTGCACTTTTTTATCTCACCCTCTTTGTATATTTCCAATGTGTATCAGAATGAGAAAAGATGCAAATTAGCTGGGATTTCGTATTACCCATGGTACAAATGAAGACGAGGTATGCTAAGTTTGAAAAAAAGTAAATAAAGAGGCACATTTTTTAATAAAGTTTAAATTATTTGACCATATTATATGCGTTTTATTGGTTTCTATTATAAACTAAATTCTAAAATAACGATATACAGTATGCATATTAATAAATTCTAAATACAATGTTAAAAAAGAGTGCTTGTTGAAGCTTAATAGTTGCTATTTACAGATCCGTCAAACGGCCCCATATTATCGCCAAAATCTTGCATATCCTCGTCTAGAGGATCATCAACGTCATCAATCAACGGGGCTTCGGGACAATTTCTGCAGCGGCTTTCGTTGACCCCATAGTTTATACATGTCGAGCCTACACATTCGCAACAGCCATCATGAAACCATCTAAAAAACAAAATTTACAAAATTCCATTTCACTTTTATAGTACTAAGATATTTTACCTATAGCTACTTGCTCCGGTGCTCTGGCAACTTTGGCGACACTTATTCCATGAAGTGCATTGATCCAGATAAATCACTGTACAATTGACAATACCCATGTTGTCCCGTTCTTTAATGGCTCCATCTAAATTTTTGTCGTTGTTTTCCATAGGGAAACTATGTAGTTTGGGACCAGATAAAACCTTATCAAAGTCTAACGGGAATGTAAAAATATTCCAATTGAAATCCAGTTCATCAGCTGGGGAAGATACTAGAACATTAAAAAGTTCGGGGACTCCTTCAAAATCCTCGACATGTGATTTTTTAGAGATGGAGTTGCGTGTATCATTCTGTTTTGGACAAAGTTCTGAAAAAATATAAATTATAACATAATTAGAAAATCCATGTAAACAAATGAAAAATCTAAATGTAAACAAATATAGATATTCCTTATTTTAATATTAAATTCAAGGTGTATTTATTAAGGTATAATTGACATTCATTTTTGATTGTGAATAATCACATTCTGTATCAGACGATGTGCGTGAAAATGAATTTAAATTTAAATTCTACTACTTTGATTTTTCGCTTACCAACACTGGTTTTCTCTCAGAGATAAATTTAAATTTAACTACATTTTCGTGAGAGTAAATTTAAATTTAACTCAAAAGTGCTTGTTATGAAACAAAATAAAAGTTAAAATTATGAAAATAATATAACAATAAAATGTTATATGAATTTTATTAAAAAATTATAATTGTAAGAACTTTGGCCAGAACAAGAACAGTGGCCAGACTTATATTTCATATGGTCACTGTAGGAGAAATGGGTTTGGACCCACTGTGGGAAAATGGTTAGGGATGCGTCTTTATGGTGTCCATCTGGAATTCCCACAGTGGCCAGACTTATATTTCATATGGTCACTGTAGGAGAAATGGGTTTGGATCCACTGTGGGAAAATGGTTAGGGATGCACCTTTATGGTTTTCATTTTCGGAAAGAGCATCGAAAATGCTCCTAGACCAATGATTCTCATAATCCAAACCCATCTGGAATTCCCACAGTGGCCAGACTTATATTTCATGTGGTCCTCTTTGGAGAAATTGGTTTGGACCCACTGTTGGAAAATGGTTAGGGATGCACCTTTATGGTGTCCATTTTCGGGAAGAGCATCGAAAATGCTCCTAGACCAATGATTCTCATAATCCAAACCCATCTGGAATTCTCACAGTGGCCAGATTTATATTTCATATGGTCACTGTAGGAGAAATGGGTTTGGACCCACTGTGGGAAAATGGTTAGGGATGCACCTTTATGGTGCTCATTTTCGGAAAGAGCTTCGAAAATGCTCCTAGACCAATGATTCTCATAATCCAAACCCATCTGGAATTCCCACAGTGGCCAGACTTATATTTCATATGGTCACTGTAGGAGAAATGGGTTTGGACCCACTGTGGGAAAATGGTTAGGGATGCGCCTTTATGGTGTTCATTTTCGGAAAGAGCATCGAAAATGCTCCTAGACCAATGATTCTCATATTCCAAACCCATCTGGAGAAATTGGTTTGGACCCACTGTTGGAAAATGGTAAAATGGTAAAATTTACCAAAATGGAATTTTGGTAAAATTTTGTACAACAACACTTGCTGTTACCTGTATTTTTCTACCATGTTATGTCAAATAAACTTTTTTAACATGCAACAATCGGTTTTGTTTATTTAACATTTTTCACAAAGTTATTATATTGGGGAAACCTACAAAACATGAATGGAATGTTGGGGTTTCTCCACAAAATTGAATCCAAGATAGTAGGACAAAATTGTTTTATCCCAAAATTATGCATTTGCCCGTTTCAATTTATTTTCTTTTTATTTAAAACAATACACTCACATATGCAAAATGTGTATATATTTTGACAGATTATGGGCTCTCAATAAATACTCAAAAATCTTAAGTTTTCTTTTTTGGGAACATGCAAGAGGATTTAATAAAGGTTTCCATTTATAGGACGCCCATAAATGCTGTAAGCTCGATGAAATGTCTTGGTTTGTTTCTTGATTATGGTTTGGTATTTGATGTGAATGTGAATTCTTTAGTGTCCAAAGTAAATTTTATTTTAAAAAAGTTGTAGTGTTTGGATATAGTTTTGCCACAGAAAATATTAAACATATTTTAGTGATACTGTACCGTAGAACAACGAGAATCGTACTGTACCGCAGTCGGATCACTAAAAAACGTAGTGTACCGCAGTCGAAGTACTACAAAATCGTAGTGTACCACATGGCGGAATATTAAAAAAATAATGTTCCGGTAGTGTACCACATATGTGTTGTTTACGATTTGTGAGAAAATTAGATGTTTGTATTGTAATTATGCAAGTAATTTACCTGCTATTTTGTGGTAAAAAATTAATGAATGTAGGTGTAAAAAAGTAAACATTTTACAAAGTATGGTTGAGTGTTTAAAATCAGTTTTATGATTTCGATTTTTTAATGTGGTACATGTGGTACACTACGATTTTTTAATGCTCCGATTGCGGAACACCAGGTTTTTTTAGTGTTCCGACTGCGGAACACTACGATTTTTTAGCGCTCCGACAGCGGTACACTACGATCATCGTTGTGTTCCGGTTCAGTATCACTAAAATATTTTTTAGTGATACTGTACCGGTACAATGCACTATGTTTGTGTACTGTTTATTTTCGAACGCTGCTTAATTATGCCCCACTTTTTATATTGTATTGAGATTTTTGGGGGTAGTTGCTTTTCGTAAGTAGAAATTATTGTTTCATAGGGTTATGCGATATGTTTTTTGTGTTAAACGTCGTGATAATATATCTGCTTATGTGAAAGAGTTCCTTGGTTGTTTTGTGAATTTAAGGTCAATGTGATTCTTCTACAAACACTTTAGATTGCAGACACCTTCTTCTGTTTTGGATCTGTTTAAGTTTTCTAGATCTCGTAGGAACCCGCAAATTTTTATACCACGCTTGACTCCTCTGTTGAAAAATCCTTCTACGTAAGAATTGCTCGTATCTTCAACAATCTGCCGCCCAATCTTAAGGTATTTAATTCTTCTCTAAAATGTTTTAAGCGTAAATTATATGATCACTTCAATCAAAATATTGTTTAATAATGTTCATGTTTTTCTTTTTCTTTTTGTGTTTGTTTTTGTATTTCTCTTGCATAGCTGATTCATCTTATTATTTAATCAATTGTTATTTTTTTATTTTTGCTAATTTGTTTTAAAGTTAATAATAATTTTAATTAAGATCTTTAAGATTAAGATTATTATAAATAATTTTAAAGTAGTCATGTATAGAAGAAAGATTTAAAAAAAAAATCGTCGCAAAATACCTCTCAAATGAAAACCGTTATATGGGGGTTTACGAAGACGTGATCCTGCATAAGTAATTTGTATCATAGGCTGTAGTAACTGTTACGATACGAAATTTGAAACAATTCCTGCGAATAACATCGTAAAAATCATCAAAATACCGAATATCAAGGGAAACCGTTATATAGGGTATATATGATATCGTGGACCGTAATGTACTCAGAAGGAACTCCTTTTGTGGATTTTAAGACAATTCCGTTGAAAAATTTGGTTGAAACCATCGAAATACCGAATATAAGGGCTATATCGATATCGTGCTTCTATTTAGACAATCGTGCTTCTATTCAGACAAGTACTCACAAGAAACGTCTTGTGAGAATTTCAGACTATTCCATTGAAAAATGTGGGTAAAATCATTCAAATACTGAATATCGGGGGTTATAGGGGGATATAGCCCATCTTCGAACTTTACCTGCCTGCAGACAAAAGACAGATCTGTGCAAAATTTTAGCTTATCTTAATTCGTTTTGACTGTAGCGTGATTACAGCAGACGGACAGGGCTAATCGTCTTAGAATTTTACGCTGATCAAGAATATATAAACTTTATTGGGTCTAAAATTATTATTTCGTTTAGTTAGAAACGGAATGACGAACTTTATATACCCTCCATACTATGTATGGATAAAAATTATAGAGTTTGGATCACTTCAAGAAGCATTGGCTACAAATCGGTTGTGTCGGTCCCCTTTTTTTGGAGTAACCCCCAATTGCAAATATTGTTCACTATGAACTATGGAAAAACACAAATCCTATACTTTTTCTTTATCATTTCATTAATTATTTGTTGACTTCAAAGTAGAAACTTGCTTGGTAGAATAGTAATGACTTTTCACTGATATGCCTTTGTTTTACATATACTCTGGCTTGAGATTAATTCCACAGTAACGCTTACAGTTTTTGGTCGCCTACTTAGAAAAGCAATTAAATTAAATTTACAGAAACTGCGGATAGCGCATTTTCACCAACATTTGTTTAAAGGGTAGAACGCAATTCCATTCGCATGGCAATCATCACGGTTTGTTTATCGATATCAATCCATTTCGTGCTGACAATCTACAAGTTATCAAATTCCAATTAAACACACACTACCACACAAACGGTCTATCAATGAAAGAAATAGGCGATGGACGTGTTTGTGTTAGATGTCTAACTACTATTCATACTCTTTAAAATTCTGTTCAAACGTATCACTAAATACCACAAATCTTGATTGACATCTTTTGACTTACCCACACAGCTACAGCATTCCTCGTAGTACTTGGTTCCAAGACATTTTAAACACTCCTGCCAACAGGAGCAATTCTTCGATTCACATTTACAACTCTGTGTCAACAAACATTTGGAAACGATTGGAGCACATACAACTTCATTGCACGATTCCACCTCAGGACTATGGAAAAACACAAATCCAAATAGCAAACAAGCGCCTAGAGTTAAACATCGCAATATCTCCATATTTGACAAAGTGAGTAAATAGAAATTGGTCACAAAAAATCTTGGTGGAAACAGCACGAAACAAACAAAAATGGACAGACAAAATCAACATATAAACATAATTTGGACGCAGATCACGACACAGATTTAACTGGGAATACACTCACGATTCACGTTTATTAAAACCAAATCCGCAACAAATATGATGTGACAATATTGCTTGTATTTCCAATTTGATATTTAAATAAAAGAAATAATAGATCCTCGATTAGATGACGATGCTGCGATCAACATCATATTTACTAGGGCTACGTAAGTCGACTTTTGATTTATAGTTTTATTGGCTATGGTAAAAATCGCAATATTGACTTTGTGTAATCGATTTTCGATTTTGAGATCATAGTTTTTTAGTAGTCTTTTAATTTTCAAGGCCGATGATGATTTTTGTAATCATTGGTTTATTACAGAACTGCAAGAATGTAAAGAAATTTAATATCATAACCGATTTTCAATTTAAGATGTCTAAATCAATTTCCGAAGCAGTAGATTCTTGCATGTTCTGGGCCAGAACAAATGCCTACTATGATAAAAGGAATATAACGTATTATGGGTTAGAGAAAATTTCCGGTAAAGAGGCCTGCCCATGGTAGAAATACCAGGTAGCAACATAGGCGAAAATTACAACAAAGCAACTTTCTTGGAAACTTGATATGTCAAATTTGTAAGCAAAGCGAATTTACTTGACATATAAAATTTGAGGCAAATTGGTTTGTACCAATCAGAAAATTACATTTTGAAATACAAACAATTTAGATTTTAGAAGAAGATTTTAGTTAACTCTATCAACGTTGTGCGTATCATTTTTATCATAGTAAGCATTCTCCAAATCGGATATAAATGTGGGAAAAATGTTCTTCGACTTCCCCAGGTACTAATGTGCATGGATATCTTAAGCTCATTGTAAACTTGTTTTACATATCTCTCTTGTAGATCAGTTATCAATGGTCGTTGTGATGTGTGTTGTGACATTTGGTTTCGGCTTTGTGACAAAATTCTGGCCGCCCGGTCAAAAAACAAATCCAATTGCGGGTAGTTACCCTCCAAATAAGGCATATTTGGTGCAATCACAATTATGGCAAACTACTCAACTCGATTTGTGCGATTCACATAAACATTCAAAGAAAGTCTTTGGAGATTGTTGAATTCTATCTGGGATTCTAGGGTCTTTGTATTGGTAGAAACAGGCAATGTCTTAAAATGTGGTGTATACATTGATGCTTGTGTGTGGCTAATGGATATGGAATCCTAAATAAAATCGTACTTCGATTTCACTCTGGTCATTTATTTAAAATATTCAAGCCACATAATGTTAATTGTTTTATGAGGACATCTGGGAGTTCGATTCGTATGTCTTAAAATATTGTCAACTAAGGATCATTTTGGTGTAGCTACGTTTCAGCTAACGTTTTAGTCGTATTTTCAGCAGAATCATGGAAAATGTTTAACAATATCCGTGCTCTGATCTCATAGAGCGTAAAAACGTAGACTTACACCAATTTTCTCGATTAACTCTCAGTTTCCTTATCTAAATTTTCAAATCGCTCAAAAATTTCTTTATGTGCATATTTGTGGCGAATTCAAATTACAACAATTTGTTTGGCATATCAAGTTGCCACCAGCTGGCCTGATAGGGTTACCTTATAATTCTACCATGGGCCTGCCTGAATGGAATGTAATGTCAGGATTACTGGCAAAACAAATGCAACATGTTGTTTTGTATGAAATAAACAAAACCACTTGTTGCATTATTTTTGAATAAATATAAAAACGACGCAAATACAAAGGTCAAGGATTTTTATCAAAACCGTGTTTTATATATGTGTATTACCATTTTAAATTAAAAATTGTAGTAAACAATTTAGTTTCAACTGATTTTGAATATTTGTTAAACAATTTTCGTATTATTAAACACACACATACAAAAAAAAAAATGACATATTTAGCCATGTGATGTGTCCACAGGTTGCGCATAGTGGAAAGCCCAGTGGATGTACAGGGTAGCTGAGAATTGAATAAGCAGTCGCAAACAGTCAACGGGTCTGGGGGAGTGCCAACGGTCCTTTAGAGGACCCCTAACGCTGGATGTAATGCGACCACCTGCCACCTTTAGTATTGTAGACTTCTGGGAAGACACCTTGTCAGAACTCACCTGAAGTTTTTTCGGAAGTTCGAGAGGACATACCCCAATGCAGCACTCAGGGAAATGCCTACTATGATAAAAGGAAGATAACGTATTATAGGTTAGAGAAAATTGCCGGTAAAGAGGCCTGCCTGAATGGATTGTAATAATTGTGTTTGATTCCTTTCTGAGAGACTAAAGTAGTTTTATTCTCTTTTGCAAGAAAACTGTGAAAAGTAAACAGACGGAATTTCTGCAAAAACTTGCAAGCCATCAGCTGTTTTACTAAAGCAGTCGGCAACCCTGTTGTGATTAGTGTCAAAAAATTGTGGTGCTCCGTGCTTTTGAAAAAAAATAAATTTTTATCTTGTTTCTTTTATTACATTAGCTAATTAGTTGTTGTAACATATCATGGTAGAAGAATATAGGTAGACGCGTCGGCACAGCTGCTTGGACAATGAACTGACAAACCAATTTTGGAATTGAAAATGTAGAATGAAAAATTATATAAATTTGTAAAAATTGTTGAAAAACGTGAATTATAATAGCCTCCGAATGACGTAGGACAAGAAAGCATATAAAAATCTAATTATATTTGAAAAAACATTTAAATTTTTTTGACATACCAATGCTCCCAAGTGTTGATGCATCTACCTGTATTCTTCTGCCATGTAACATATCTTGTTTTGTTTGTCATCTCAAAAGAGTTGCCAATATTAAAAAAATAAAATAAATAAAGGAATAACTTTAGTTTAGTAAAAACGAAATTTTTCCCAGAGGTAGGTATTTTTACCCTGATTCCGGGAAACAATTTTTTTCTTGGGGGACGGACCCGGGGACCCAGATTTTTGACCCTAAAATCCGGGTTCAAGACCCGGTCTGGACCCGGATCCAATTACCCGATATAGACAACATAGGTATCGTTGGAAATGAAAATACCTATCCGACAAGTGGTCACATGATGGACCAAGTGGTCAAGGTTCGGTGTTATAGTCAAATTATCGGACCCGGATTTTTTATAAAACCCACAAAAAGTCCAAAAAGGGCCCATTATGGGGGTCAACAAAATTGATGTCAAATTATGGCTGACACTCTTACCTTTCCAAAATGCTACAATTTGTGCTAATACCTTTTTCGGGTCCAGAGATATGGGTCTTTCCATCCCCATAACCCGATTCGAACCAGTTCATTTAAATTATGTTTTCAGTAAGAAAACAAACAGTAAGAAAATGGAATAACAAAAGTTTTCTAAATTTGACACTTTTTGTAAATAGCCGGCCTTCGGCCGGGGCTTGAGATTTTCTTCTCTGGGTATGTCCTACACCGGCTAACGCGAACCAAAGTTTTCTAAATTTGCCACTTTGTAAATAGCCGGCCTTCGGCCGGGGCTTGAGATTTTCTCCTCTGGAACCAAAGTTTTCTAAATTTAACACTTTTTGTAAATAGCCGGCCTTCGGCCGGAGCTTCGATATTTTCTCCTCTAAGTATGTCCAACACCGGCTAACGCCAACCAAAGTTTTCTAAATGTGGTGCTTTTGTAATCCAACGACGGCTACGCGAAATAAACCTTTTTTACTGAAAACATAATTTTAATGAACTAGTTAGAATCGGGTTATGCGGATGGAAAGACCCATATCTCTGGACCCAAAAAAGGTATTAGCACAAATTATTGCATTTTGGATAGGTAAGAGCGTCAGCTATAATTTGGCATCAATTGATATATAATTTGGCAACCTTGACCACTTACCATCATGTGATGTGTTGGATAGGTATTTTCATAAGCTTTCCAACGATACCTAGGTTGTCTATATCGGGTAACTGGATCCGGGTCTGGTCAGGGTCTTGAACCCGGACTTTGGGGTCAAAAATCTGAGGTCCCGAGTCCGTCCCCAAAAAAAATTGTTTCCCGCGATCAGGGTATAAATACCTACCACTGGAAAAAAAATTTAAAATATTGAAGAGTTTTTACTAAACTAGAGTTAAGCCTAATTATAATTAAAATAAATAAAATGTCGTGCCCTTTTGAATTGTGTAATATTGTTGCAGAGGATGAATTGTGTGTTACCTGTTGGTTTTGTCTTAATCAATGGCATGCAAAATGTGCTAGGATTAACGCAAAAGTCGTAGACACAATTAGAAATGATTTTGGTGTTCGTTGGTGTTATGTGCAATGTAGGAAACTCTCTGCAGATTTTTACAATTTTGTAAAGGATTTGCAGTCGGAATTGACATCGATGAAAAAAGATTTTTCCTTACTATCACTCCGATTTGAGAATTTCTCTACATTGTTTGTGAAATACCAAAAATTAGATGAGTTTGTGTCGTCACCGTCAGTTTCTGGTCAGAAACGCAAAGGTGCCGCGAAAAAGGCACAAACTAATGGAATGCCTAGTCGCAAAGCAATAGTTTCTGTGGAGAACACTGTTCCACAATGGGTTTTAGTTAATATCACTGATACAACTGAAACTTTAATATCACTGATACAACTAAGACAGTTAATATCACTGATACAACTAAGAAAACCTCACAATCTACTCATGGCATTCAGGAATTATCTCTTCCTTCACTAATCACTAGTGATCATCCCGAGACTGTTACTGGCAAAACTCAACCTGTCCAAAGATCATTATCTATGGCTCCCGCCATGAAATTATATTTGCGACAAGGTTTGCACCGGAAATAACGGCCAATGACATAAGCTATTATATAAAATCAAAAATAGAGGGAGATTACTTTTTCAGATGTTATAAGCTCCGTTCTGCATTTTCTGAAAGTAGATCTACTTTCAAAATCGTTGTGCATGAAAATATTTTTGTACAGTTGATTTTAAAAGAATTTTGGCCTGCTAGGGCATTTTTTAAAGAATTTCTGGAGAGATTCGATAATTTAGCTCATTTAGACCAGATCTTATATTCCACCTTCATCTTCACTTGACATTTATAATCAGCATTTATCAGCAATAACTTTAATCACTGAAAAAATGAAAGATTCCGATCGCATCCTGATTCTTGGTGATTTTAATATGCCTTCCATTAAGTGGCTTCTAATGCCAGATTCTGAAGCTTTTATTTTTTTGCTATCCGAAATGAACAGTACCCAGTATACATTTGAAGCTATAAATCGTTTTTGTGACTTAAATCTTTATCAAATAAACAGTGTGAAAAATTCCCTCGGCAAAATTCTTGATTTGGCGTTATTTTGATATATTCAGAATTCCTCCAATATGCACTCCTGAAGATATGTACCATCCAACTTTATATATCTCCATGACTCACAGTTATGCAATTGAAGAAAGTCAGTCTGACTCATTTAAAACTGTCCTTAATTACACAAAAATTAATTTTCGAAAACTTAATTTCGTCCGTAAATTGGGCTTCTGTGTGCCTGTGTAACAGCCATAAAGATCAATAATATGTAATTGATAAATTTTATGATATTTTAAATAGATTTAACCTGAAATGTGTTCCAACAACTAGAGTTAAAAATTCAAATAAATATCCATGGATAACCCCTGAGTTATCAAGTTTAAAAAATACTAAAAATAAGCTTTTTCGTAAATATAAAAAATCAGGCTTAACAATAGACTATTCTAATTACTCTGTTGCTAAATCTAAATATACTTTAGAGTCTCGTAGATTGTATAATCTTTACCTCGACAATATTAAAAATAATTTTAAATCCAATCCTAAATCTTTTTATGATTTCGTTAAACTAAAACGAAAAGTTTCCTCAAAGCCCTCAGTATTGAAATATAACAAAAAAGAATTTGTCACAGGCACAGATATTGCTGAATATTTCGAAGATTTTTTGCCACAACCTATTTCATCTTGCCAAATTAAAGATTCGTATCCACATAAGCTATCACTGGCTGATCAAATTTATATGCCTTTTCTACAACGTCAAGAGGTGTCCTATAGTCTGCGAAGTTTAAAATCGATTAAATGTCCAAGCCCAGATAGCATACCTTATATATGAAACATTAGCACTTCGTTTAACTATTTTGTTTAATTATTCACTTAAATTTGCTCAATTTCCTACTTTCTGGAAAAAATCTTATATTATACCTTTACATAAGTCGGGTAGTCTTACTAATGTTTCAAATTATAGAGGAATTGCAGAATTAAGTGCCATTCCAAAATTGTTCGAAAAATT